CCAGCTTGGTATCATCTGCAAACTTTATAAATGTACTCTCCATGGCATTATCTAAATCACTGATGAAAATATTGAACAGAACCAGACCCAGAACTGATCCCTGCGGGACCCCACTCGATATGCCCTTCCAGCTTGACTGTGAACCACTGATAACTACTCTCTGGGAACAGTTTTCCAACCTGTTAGAATAGCTCCATCTAGTTGCATTTCCCAGCAATAACCCATGGAGGAGGTGGCTTTGCGGTTGGTTTGTTTAAGAGGTGAAATGAGTGATTGGAGCAGGATTTCCAATGCCGTCGCCCCTAAAGGATTTGCAGAGGGAAATGGCAGAGCTCATACAACCCTTCTGCGATGCAGCCAGCGTCCTGTTACGGGTAATGGCCCTCGGGAGAGGCTTGCAAAGAGTAGCTGCCTCCTCCTGCCTCCTCTCTCTCAGGGGTACGGAGGGCAGCCTTCACCCTCCTCCCCAGGAGCCTCTCCTCCTCTGCATGCCGACTGGATAAGGCCACAGCAGCCGGGGGCGCAGGGGCTGGAAGTAGGGGGCTGCTGCACCCCCTGGTGTGAAGTACAGTGGAGTCGCATCACAGGCGCATTTAACTTGTGATTTTAACTATACGCGCTCAGCAAAACAAAACAGAGAAAAATAACAATTTAAATACTGTACCTGTAGTGCGGGCGATTCCGCCCGCCATTCCACTCCAGGAGCGTTTGACTATACGCGATTTTCGCCTTACGTGCTGACTTTAGAACCTAACCCCCGCGTAAGATGCGACTCCCCTGTAGTACTAACAGCCCAAATACGTGGTTTCCGCCTTCAGCACCCGCACTGTAAAAATTGTTCCAGCACCTCTGGGAGTGGGTCACATACAGGGCACCTTCCATCCCAGGCACCTCAAGCGCCGCGCCTGCCTGTGCCAGTGTTACCTACGTGTCCGACAGTAGCCGAGTACAGGCACTTGCTAGCTAAGTACTTCTGTCGCCCTCATCACTGTCCTGTCTGACTTGCCCAAGATCTCACACACGGGCAGCATCACAGCCAGGAACAGAACCCAGGAGTCCTGACTCACAAGCCCCTGTGCTGACCATTGGGCAACTGTGCCTTCAGACAGCTGGCCCTGGCAGGCCGGGACTCATACCTCTCTGCATGTCATGGTCCCGCTCAGCCCTGTACCAGGCTAGTCTCTCTATGACCTTTGCTCCAAACTCGGTTAAGGAGAGGGCAGAGCAGCTGGGCTGGATTCCCGATGGCTGCTGATTCCCAGCGGAGTGGGGCACTTCACTGATGTATTAACAGAACCTACTGAAGATTAGTGAGTTCAGTCTCTGGCAGGTTGTTCCTGCCCTGGGTGCAGCCCTAACGCCAAGACGACTGCTTCTCTGAGCCTGCCTCTGATGCAGTCCGACAACAGTCACTCACAACTAGCCACTTAAGAAGAATTGCCCCTTTTTAAAACTAAATTTCTACCTTGATGGCCATTTAAGTCAGATGCTTATCACCCTGCTGTTCTTCCCGTGCTTTTTTTTAAAAGGCTGAAATTAACGTCTTGCACCCATGAATACAGCTTTGTTAGGGGAAAAAAAGTCACCATCCAAATCAAAAAGAAAAAAAACAACAACAACCCTCAAGGCCTCTAATTTTCTCGCAGACCTTAATTTCAGATCTTGTTTGAAGTGTCTCTCTCCCAGACCACGCTTCAATAAGTGATTCCTCCCAGCGTGTGCCCATCACTCTCCAATAAGGTCTGGAGACCGCGGGAGCATCAACACATTGTTATTAGCCCAGCACTGCCTGATGCAGCTGTTTCGGAAATGCATTTGCTCCACTGTTGTTTAAAATCCCTAAAGCTCTTAATAGCCTGTCCCAGAGGCCCTTGCTGGGTACAGTCGATAACCAGGGTTTATCTCACTTCATTCTGAAAGGCTGGGCTGGAATTAGAGTCATTTTCCCTCCGAGAAGGGGCCTATAATCAGATTTTTTTGTTTTCCTTGAGGAGTTGGCGTTTTTGATCATCTGGACTTCTTATCAGTGCTGCCTTGCCTTGCTTTCCAGGTCCGAGTCAAACCTCTGGAGGGGAGAGCTCCGGATGGTTCTCCGATGGCATGAAAGGCCAATGGTGCACTAGGAAATGTGGGGAGAAATAACAAACAACAAGGGTCTTGTCCTGACGGGGGCTGGAGCCGTAACCCCCTTAGCTGACCAAGAGCAGAACTGATGAATGGGAGCTGGTTGTTCTGGTTTCACGCCTGACATTCAGATTTAAAAAGAAAAAACAAATCCCGAAAATGCTTCAGTTTCTAGGAGTTGTTAAAGAAACGTAAACAAGAATGTAAGCGTTAGTCCCTAGCCCAACGCGCCGGTATTCAAGGGACACCCGACTCGCGTTCCAGTCACGAATCAATAACGGGCTGGACAGCAGGAACCCACTCAGCCAAGGCGCTCAGTGAGAGTACTCG